AGTCTGCTGGTCAAGTCTCCCAAGACTTGAATTAGTCTGCTAGTCAAGTCTCCCAAGACTTGAATTAGTCTGCTGGTCAAGTCTCCCAAGACTTGAATTAGTCTGCTGGTCAAGTCTCCCAAGACTTAAATTAGTCTGCTGGGTAGAAAAGCCTGTTCCAGCAGGGTTTTGCTGTTGTCCTTCAAGATGGGTAAATGAGTCGAGAGACAGTAAAACTCACAAATAATAATGCTCTCAGTCTGGTGTACATTTGGCTGGGAAGTTGTCTTGTATCCTTCGTTTAGTGTTCAACATTAGAATTGTCTTCAGTGTGTATTGGCCATGTCCTGTCTGAATTACACGGTTACAGCCAGTTGCTTTCATAGGCCCACGTTACAGCTAGCCGCAGCCAAAATAATTGGGTCAGCGCAGTTCTGTCACAAGAGTCTCGTAGTGCCGATAACACAGAAGTTTATTAAAATGCAGAAAAGAACAGATTGACACGTATAACAATTTTTTTGTCAGAATACACTTGTAATCAATGGATCATTTTTTGCAGGTGTCCGATCTTCAGTATGCCTCGCCAGCCACCGTTTCCCGCTGCGGCATGGTCTTCGTGGACCCCAAGAACCTGGGCTACCTGCCCTTCTGGCAGAAATGGATCAACGCCCGCCCCTCCAAGCAGGAGCAGGAGGAACTGATGAGGCTCTTCAACAAGTACGTCCCTGGAGCCATCGATCTGATCCTGGAGGGGATCTTGGACGGCAAGCCAGGAGACAAGCTGAAGATGATCATCCCACTGACCAACCTCAACATGGTGGGCAGCCGATTTGTCGCATTTTGGCGGATTGTTCTGTCGTTGTTTACCACTAGCAACACAAGGCTCAAGCACTCTTGTGTATCAAGCCAAAGTTACAGATAGTTTCTTGGAAGGAGTTGGGAAGCTACTCTGAAGTACAGTTAGCCAAACGGAAGTTTCACACTGTCCTGTCTGAAGTCTGTTTCAACTGGCTGAAAAAAAATTCTTCTTAACGTTTCCTTCTAAAGTTTGACTGATTTTGCTTAATCGTGAAATTTAAAAAAAAAAATTGGGGGGGTTGAAACCTTTGGAGGACAGCTTCAGAACTCCTCGTTATTAATTTTCAGTGAAAAAGGACCCATTTTGAAATCTTTCAAGATCTTCTCAAGGATTTGTTAGCCAAGATGCCATTTATTTCTAAGCAGTTTTTGTGTTTATTTCTAAATGTAAATGATGGGTTTGTTTGTAGTGACACCATGTAGAAGCAATCTCTCTTAAGGGGAAGAGTGGTTATGATACGAACCTGAGATTTTCAGAATCCACGTTCCGATCAGTATGCCCTAGTTGTCATCGGGAACAGTGCCTGACTATGTGGCATGGTGCTGGCCGAGAAATGCTGGATGGTTGCCGATGCATGGAGAGTATGAACAACAATCTTTCTGTTTGGATTGAATGTCAATAGGTGACCCAGCTAACCAAGATGTTGGACGCCCTCATCACCAAGGAGCAAGAGTACGAGGTCCTGGAGTCCATCTTCATCCAGGCGCTGTACTGGTCCCTGGGCGGTTCTCTGATCGAGGAGAGCCAGGTCAAGTTTGACAGCTTCATCAAAGCCACGGCGTCCATGTCCACAGTCTCTGACGAGGGGACGGACGCAGGCCCTGGGGAACTGCCTGGACAGCTGGATTCCATCTACGAGTATTACTTTGATCAGGATAAGAAGAAGGTAAGCGGAAGGTTGTTTGGCTTAGAGACTTTGAAGGCTGCCTGGCAGGAAAGATTGCTTAGCAGGTGTTGTGGCTAAGCATATTTCAGTCCACTTTTGCTGAGGCCAACTTCGGTCAAAAACCGTGTACAGTTAGCCATGTTTTCAATTTCATTTGCTTAGTACCCGCCCTACATATCGCACACACGTTACCAGTCAAAATCAACCAGTGATTGGCAAATGGTCGCTGGTCAAACTTGGCCTGAGCAAGTGGTGCTTACCACCATTTTGTGCTTGGTGACACCTTCAAGCATTTTGGAACCCATTTTAAGAATGGTTCCACAGTATTCACTGAAACAGGCCAAATTCATCACACCGATGTAGTTTTTTTTTGGTAATACATGTGATTTCATTGTAGACAAAAGTATTGTGATCCAAACAGGATTGCAAGAACATTCTTGTGAAACTTGTCTTGGATTCGTCCCATCTACCCCTCTCCGTCCACCTCAGTGGATCCCCTGGTCTAGGCTGGTACCCAAGTACGTCCATGACCCCGAGCGCAAGTTCTACGAGATCCTGGTACCCACCTTGGACACAGTGCGCAACACCTGGCTGCTAGAGCTCATGGTTCACACCAAGCAGCCCATACTGTTTGTTGGCGACACGGGCACATCCAAGACAGCCACCATTCAGGACTTCCTGAGGAACATTGACCAGGAGAGTAATGTAAGTTGCTAATGGGATCACTTAAGTTGCATTTGGAAGTTACTCTGGTATTGTTCGGACAGTCACTGGTATTGAGCTTATTCTTGGTTAGCTCTCGCATTGATGAACAGGGTTTCCTTTTCTTGCTGTTGTCGGAAATGAGGCCCAAGGCAGAAGACTTTCAGACTTGTGGAGATAATTGATTTAATTTTAAGGGTTCTACTAAGGGCCGGCGACCATTTAGACCTGGTTTGAAAAGGGCCCCCCGGTAAGCTCGCCCGGTTGCAAAAACCCCTTTCATACCGGCCTGGCTACCGGCCTGGGATGCTGGACTGGTTGTTGATCTCGAACTTCTTCATCCTGGGGTCCATTGTTTGCAAGTACTGGTACATGTAATCTATCCCAGAAGGAACCTGCTTATGGTTTTTAATCCTTCAGCTCTATACAATGTTTACACTAATCCGCTTAGACCCCCATTCATCTGTGCTAGCATGGTGGGGGAAGCCTTTCATCAGGGACTTTGAAATGCCAATGTGCAGACAGGCCTGATACCGGCCTGAAGTAGGCTGAATACCGGGCAGGCATTATACCGGGTGGGCTACCGGGGGGCCCTTTTCAAACCGGGTCTAAATGGTCGCCGTCCCTAAGGTTAAAGAATCAAATATCCAGCTTCCCAAGTATCAAGATGTGATAGCTTAAAATTTCTTAGTACCTGAATTCATCATTGACCTGACTCTTTTTTATGTTGTTCCTTTGCCAGTTGATTTTGAACATCAACTTTTCCTCACGTACCACCTCCATGGACGTCCAGCGGAATCTGGAAGCCAACGTTGAGAAGCGAACCAAGGACACATACGGCCCTCCTCCCGGCAGACGCCTGCTGGTCTTCATGGACGACATGAACATGCCCCAGGTGAGAACTCGCCACATGGATTGGTTTTGACACCCCTAAATCCTTCAAAATCTATAAGTTTTTGTAGGATTTTGTAGGATTTAGGAATGTAGAGCCAAGCCACTGTTACTTTACGTGGCGCTTGAAGCCCCTCGAAAGTCGAACAACAAAGAATGCTGCTGTTGTCTTCCTGTAGGATGGATGATTTTGGAGAATTCCATTTTGTAGCGAAAATCCTGACAGAATTAAAGGGTAGTAAAATGATTTAATGCCTTCATTGAAGAAAGCATGTGCCCTACTTCAGTCAAAAAACATCCAGGCATTTGGCGTTTTCTTCTTATCAACCACATCAGCGTATTCTTCAAAAAAAGAATACAGTTGTAATAAGAAGGTTCCTAACAGTAGTCTGTTCCCCACAGGTTGACGTGTACGGCACCCAGCAGCCCATTGCTTTACTGAAGCTGCTTCTGGAGCGAGGCGGGATGTATGACCGAGGCAAGGACCTGATCTTGAAGTACATCAGAGATATCGGGTTCATTGCTGCTATGGGAAAGGTTCGTAAACAATCCTGAGACACACTGAGCGTGAAGTTTATTATTTATACCAGTGAATCAATGGAGAGGTTGGCTTCACTTTTTTGTTGGTTTACCTTAATACCATTTTTGTTGAGCTAATCAGTAAACTGTTTTGGTAGACTTTCATAGTTTCGTAGAGTTTTATACTCAAGCATTAATGATTTATTCATCTTAATTCTCAATCAGGCTGGTGGAGGTCGTAACGAGGTTGACCCCCGGTTCATCTCTCTCTTCTGCACTTTCAACATCACCTTCCCCTCGGACGCCTCCCTCAAGCACATCTACGCCTCCATCCTGGCCGGCCACCTGCAGTCCTTTGACGACAGCATCCATCGGGCGGCCGACAAGATCACCCAGGGCACTCTGGACCTCTACAAGATCATCGTCAACGACCTCCCGCCAACGCCGTCCAAGTTCCACTACATCTTCAACCTGCGGGACCTGTCGCGGGTGGCGCAGGGGTTGCTGCAGACCACGCCCGACCGCTTCACCAATGTCTCGCAGTTCGTACGCGTTTGGCGTAACGAGTGCCTGCGAGTGTTCTATGACAGGCTCACCACAAAGGAGGATAAATCACTTGTGGAGGTATACTCCGTCAGTACTTGCACGATCTTAGAAAAAAAAAATCTGATTGATAAACAGCATCAGTGTGTTAGTTCAGATCAGTAAAGGTGTTAATATTTCAGAGTTAATCAGGCTCAATGAATGTTACCTGTTTCTTCCAACAGGGTCACATGAAATCGGTCATCGAGGAGCATTTCAAAGACCATGTGGAGAACGCCGTCCGGGATCCGTTACTGTTTGGAGATTATCGCACAGCACTGGATGAAGGCGAAGCTAGACTCTATGAAGATATACAGGACTATGACGCTGCCAAGGCTCTTTTCCAAGAGGTATGGACAGGATTTTTTCAAGTCATTTTGCCTTCGTCTCTCAATCAATTGAAGCTGAGATTGGAAGAAGGTAAATGAAAATTGAGAAAAGAAATTCAGAAAATCATTTTATTCTGTTTCTCAGTGCCATAGAAAAACTTTGTTGATGGTGTGTGGAGCACATGATTTTTCCCTGTAAAGGTTTCCAGTCGTGGTTCATTTGCACCTAGTGATCCTGGTTTTAACTACAGTAGTCTTGAAACTTTCTCCCCTCGTTGACATCTGGAATATAGCTTGAATAGACTGAAGATGCCTCAACAAACCTATGTGTCAAATTACCTTATCTCCTCAGACACGTACACCAAAAATGCTAGATTTTCCACCTGAATGTCTACAAGCACAGCCTGTTTGTCACCATCTTGTCTTTGTCACCATCTTGTCTTTGTCACCATCTTGTCTTTGTCACCATCTTGTCTTTGTCACCATCTTGTCTTTGTCACCATCTTGTCTTTGTCACCATCTTGTCTTTGTCACCATCTTGTCTTAGTCACCATCTTGTCTTAGTCACCATCTTATCTTTGTCACCATCTTGTCTTAGTCACCATCTTGTCTTTTTCTAGATCCTTGAGGAATACAATGATAACAAGACTCCCATGAACCTGGTTCTGTTTGAGGACGCCTTGGATCACTTGACCCGGATTCACAGGGTCATCCGTATGGACAGAGGTCACGCCCTCTTGGTGGGTGTAGGTGAGTCCCACGTTGTTGCCCATGCTTGAAGAGGGCTTTCTCAAATTTTGTCCAAACGACTCTAGTTGCTTATGATTTGGGGAAAGAAACGTCCTGGATACCTTCAATATCTCTGCCATAAATTTGGTGTCAATCCCTGTCTTCATCAAGTTTAGTAGGAGCAAGTGCTCTTTCCTAAGGTGTATGCATCCAGGAGGATTCAAACCCTCAGTTGTGTTTAGTATTGATGAGAAGAAAGTGAATCAAGCACTTAACCAGTAGGTCAGGAATGCAGCAGCTGACTTCTTTTTTGAACCCCCGACCCTTCTCCTAGGTGGCAGCGGCAAGCAGAGCCTGACCCGTCTAGCTTCCTTTGCCGCCGGCTGTGAGGTCTTCGAGATCCAGCTCAGCCGGGGCTACGATGAGAGCAACTTCCGGGATGACCTGAAGGTGTTGTACAACAAGCTGGGCATCGAGCAGAAGCGCACCGTCTTCCTCTTCACTGATCAGCACGTGGCCCAGGAAAGCTTCCTGGAGCTCATCAACAACATGCTGACCTCAGGGATGGTGCCTGCGCTCTTCCCTGACGATGAGAAGGAAGGCATTGTGGGACAGGTGAGTGATGCCACCATTGCTCATGAGCCAAACATGAAAGCCCCCCCCCAAAAAAAATAAAAATTGGAGCTTCAGATAGACCTTGTGGCTCTCTTGTAACACCCAAGGTCACTGGATCATATTTGAATATAGCCCAGAATTCACGGGACCAGTTTTCAACGGAATGAGCACAAGCCCATGATGCTAGAAATGGCACACTGCAGCCGTAGTGCCATGTCTGTCAGTAACTTGTATTTGTAAGGTTATCCTTCAGGGCATACATACAAAGTTTGTCATGATTTTGTTGATTGATTTCAATTCTTATCCAGGTATCATCAAGTACTGGTACTCAGGATATTCTGTTTTACACTTTGAGATTGTGCATGCAGGAATCATGTCCATGTGGATGTATACTCAAAGTACATGTAATCTGTGCTGAAGGCATGTGGTCTGAAGAGCGGATCAAACTGCCTTGGGTCTCAGTATTTGAACCTGTATTTAATATGCAGTAAACCTTTGCAAATCACGACGGTCTGTATGAGATATGGAAAAGGCTAGCTCCGATTAAGAGTGGGGTGGGGTATTTTTTGTGGGGGGAGGGGATCAACGTGCGTTGTTGAGATTTGAAACCGTCTCATGACAACAGGCAGAGTACACTGTCCCAAATGTTGAGTCGACTGGTTCTTTTCAAAAATGCCCCTCACAAGAGAGATGTATTTTTATGTGGTGTTATTGAAAGGTATTCCATAACATGCCTAGTTGTTCTTTTATTCTGAAGTGATGTCAGTTGGCTAGTTGGGTATTTCAAACATGTAAGGTCATTGGGGAAAAGAGCACGCAAGGGAGTTGGCTAATGGCTGTGCTGATAAGGTCGTGGTGTCATTCACCTTGAGCATGCTGTGTTGGAATCCAAACTGGTCCATTCCTAAAGCTCATTCTGTCCAATCACAGATGAGGAACGAAGCCACCAAGGCGGGCGTGCCGCCGACCCGCGAGAGCATCTGGCAGTACTTCATCAATAAGTGTGCCAACAACCTGCACATTGTGCTGGCCATGTCGCCGGTGGGAGACACGCTGCGCACGCGCTGCCGCAACTTCCCCGGTTTGGTCAACAACTGCAGCATCGATTGGTTCATGGCCTGGCCCGTGCAGGCCCTGACGGCCGTGGCCTCCGTGTTCCTGGGTCATGAAGATGTAAGTTGCAATCTCACCACCACAGGTTATAGTCAACTGCATGAATGGTCACTTGGTTGCAAGATCTAGCCAGGCAAAGCATAGTTGTTTTTTAACATGTGTTAGGTTTTACAATCATATTCATAGTTATTTCCTCCAAACAATTTGCAGCTGAAAACCTGCATTACATGAATATGACGATTTGAAACTTGGAAAAAAGGCACACACACAAAGCAAAGAAGAAAAAAAAGACAAAACCAGGCTTAAAGGCATCAAAGTGCAAAAGTTTTCATATAAAAAATGTTAGCTTAAAAATTACCAAAGTACGAGTAAATGAGCTGAAATCAACTCAACCACTAACACAATAATACAAAGGATACGACTAATACAATTGGCACAGGTCAACATTTCAGTGTCTGTGCACTGGATGTTCGATCAAAGAACATGCAGCAAAGCAGTAAACACTGGAATCTTTCCATCTTTCCATTCTGTGCCAATTGGTAACATATACTGTTCCCTTTTTGTTTCACCCTGAACAGATCAAGAGCATACCAGACGAACATCGTGATGTTGTCGTGAAACACGTCGTCTTTGTGCACCAGTCTGTCGGCGAGCACAGCGCCAGTTTCCAGCAGAAGTTGAGACGTAGCAACTACGTCACCCCCAAGAACTATCTGGACTTCATCAACTCCTACCTGAAGCTGCTGGACGTCAAGGATGAATACATTCTTGCCCAGGTAGACAGAGAACGGAACCGACTGTAGTTCTGTCAAATCATGTTCAGGAGAGACTCTCAAATTTGCAGCTTTTCTTGAGGTCATCAGTAGCTTTTGCGTGCTCCCTTGGGTAGGATAAATAGCACCACCTGTGGCTCTCGCTCTGAGCCATTAGAAACAGTTATCCCTTTCATTGTAGTCCCTAAATCTTCTGTTTTCTCATCATTTCAGTGTAAGCGTCTAGAAGGTGGGATGGCCAAGCTGGCCGAGGCCAGCGTCCAGCTCAACGAGCTGAACGAGAAGCTGGCTGTCCAGAAGGTCGCCGTCACCGAGAAGACTGAAGCCTGCGAGAGCCTGCTAGGAGAGATCGCATCCCGCACTTCCAAGGCGACAGAGAAGAAACACGCCGCTGAAGGCAAGAGTAAGGAGATCGAAGAACAGAGCGCTGTCATCTCCGTGGAAAAGGTCTGTGAAGTCTCAAAAGAACCCCCAAAATCTATAGCATAGGCACACTACATGAAAATGGACCAAATGTTGGATCTCTCAATCCTGTCGACAACTTGCAACAGTAGTTGAACTAGTCTAGTCTAGTATTCAGGACAAGCCTGTGGATAGTTTGTTCCATCACTGGTTACCTGCAGCCACATCCACTGCATTGCACAGCAGGGAGCCAGGACATCGAGCCAAGGCATTGGCTCAAGGCATTTGACTGGAGATGTTCAAGTTTTTAAACTATTAGCAAACGCTAGATACATACCAAACTAACAACTTGTCAACTGGCTCTCCATGATGGAACCTTCGCCATGCTCTTGCTTCAAATTGTTTGTGTCACTGATGCTACCCTACCTGGCACTCTTGAGCATACCGCAATAGCATTCGGATTAGGTTTTTCCGAAATGCTAGACAGTTCAAGAACAAAGCTCCTTCTCCTAGAGGTTCAACAGAGCATACTCTTTGAAGCGTCAAGAAAAGGTTCTCCCCTTCCAGTTTCTCCGGAACCACACTTCCTTCAAGAACAGATATATCGTTCATGGTCGCAGGAGCAAACTATAGTCTTTCTTCATATTACACTGTGCAAAGCTTCATATCCCATTCCACAAAGCTTTAATGTCGTGCCACCTTCAACTCATTCAGTGTGTGAGTTAGTGCATGGCCGCGCTGATAGGACTGACCTCATGTGGGTGTTGACGGCCATTGTTTTGAATGACTGTCATTTGCCATATACCTGTGCGGATATCGAACTGGGTCATTCATTTGGTTGACTGGACAGTTTTAAGATAAGTTGTATTTTGCCTTGAAAGGCTACCTCAAATCCTGATCGTTCTCTGAGGATTTCACCGTCATTGTCTTCTGAACATTTCAGAAAGAGGCTGAGGAGGCACTAGCCGAGGCCTTGCCTGCCCTGGAAGCCGCTCGCATTGCCCTGCAAGATCTGGATAAATCTGACGTCACAGAGATCAGGTAGGACTTGGACCCAACCCCACAGAGTCACTTAATCCTGTCCTCCACTGTAATGTGGGCTGTGGAGGGCATAGAACCAAGTACTGCAGTTAGAATTTGTGGACTCCTGGTCATTGGGTCTGGGCTTTGAATCCATCAGCTTGTTTGTCATTGTGTCCTTGGGCAAGCCACTTTACCTCTACTTTACCTCTTCCCACCCAGAAGTTAATGAGTACCTGTGAGGGCAGACACCATGTGTGTGCCGCCATCTGTCTCCAAATGGTCCAAAGAATCAATTGTTGTAAATCCCTTGGAGGTTAATGGTACCACATTTTTTATTTCAACATCTTTGACAAAGCGCATGAGTTGGAGTGGTTTGTAATTTCCTGGTTTTTTTTTTGGTTCAGGGCCTTCGCTAAGCCTCCAAAGCTTGTTCAGACGGTGTGCGAATGCATCGTTGTCTTGAGAGGCATCAGGGAGGTGTCTTGGAAATCGGCCAAGGCCATGATGGCGGAGGCCAACTTCTTGAAATCCCTGACCGAGATGGACGTGGATGGCATCGGTCAAACGCAGGTCAGAGCACTTAAATATTCCAGGCTTGAATTTCGAAACTTGTAGTGTCAGAGTTTTTCACCAAAGATATTTCAAGGTGTTCAAGCTTGTTGTGTCCGGTAATGAAATGAACGGTTTTCTCAAAAGTGGCGCTGTAAGCCAGAAGAGACCTCTAGAGAGAAGATAATGAAGGAATGTTAAGTTTTAGGGGTCGGAAGGAAATGAGAGATAAATTTTGAGATAGAACCCACGGAATCAAGTAGGGACTGAAAATCCAGATTAAGTTTCAGCTGGGAAAGTCAGGAAAACCCCGCTACGCCAACTTGTCTCCCCTGTCAAAGGCTTCTACTCATTATTTTGTCAATAATGGTATGATTTCTTGATTTGATCATTTTGTGTTCACAGGTCAAGACAGTCAGAGGCTTCTTGAAGGACATGGACACTACCTTTGACGAGATGAAGACCGTGTCACGCGCTGGGGCTGGTCTCTTCAAGTTTGTGGTGGCGGTTATGGGCTACTGCTCGGTGGCACGAGAGATCAAGCCCAAACGAGAGAAGGTATTAAAAAAATGAGATCTTGGAATCAAAATACTGGCTTTCACATTTAGCCCCCCAACTGGATATGGCAGCCCATTGCAGATTGCCGGCCATAAAATGCAAGAACCTTTATCATGAGTAGAATGTAAATCAGGGTAAAGTGGATTGCCTAAGGACATGACACATGACAAGATGTCAGATTCGAACCTTGATTTAATCACTCCTCATCCATCTCTGTCACTCTACCCCTCCTCAGGTGGCCCGTCTGGAGCGGACTTTCTACCAGTCCAAGCGAGAACTGGACCGCATCAACAACGAAGTCAAGTCTTTGGAGGAGGAGTTGGCGAGCCTCGGTCAGCGATACGAGGCGGCCATTACGGAGAAGCAGCAGCTGCAGGAAGAGGCCGAAATCATGGAGCGCCGGCTCATAGCCGCAGACAAACTCATCTCTGGCCTAGGCTCCGAGAACGTCAGGTCAGATACCGAGATACATGCCTCTTTAGCAGCCCCCATTGGGGATGTCTGATGCTTTGTCCACATCACATGACTAAGGCTGTCAAAAATGCATACGCTTATGGGAACTGTTATGTGATGCCTTAATCCATTTACCATAAGCACATGTGTTAATGCCTACTGTAGCCAAGTAGTGAAGACGTGGCCATTGCTAAGTCATTTCTTGAAGATTTCAATGGTTCCGCTTAGATTGAATTGTTACCAGCTGAAACGCCATGCATGTGTATTGCAGCTGACTGGTTCTCTGCGAAATCTTGCTCACCACAGCAGACTCAGACAGAAAGATCCCTGGCTGTGAACAAAAGTGATGGTTACCAAGGCAGGGGGCTGAACTTTTTGAAATAGAGATGAAGTTTTTCTAATTTCCCTGTCCTTTATATGATGACTCGAGATTTATTCGTCAACTTTGTTCAACATTCGATTGTGAATTCACCTCCTTAACCCAGCAGTCGCATCTTTCTCCACCTCTCCTCTCAGATGGACCAATGACTTGGAGGAGTTGCGTCAGCGCCGTATCCGTCTCCTTGGCGACTGCCTCATCTCCTCGGCGTTCCTGAGTTATGTGGGTGCCTTCACCTGGGATTACCGCAACCAGATGATCTACAATGATTGGCAGGGTGATGTGCTTGAGCGAGGCATCCCCCTCAGCCAACCGTTCAGACTGGAAAACCTGCTGACGGACGAAGTGGAGATCAGCAAGTAGGTAGCCTAGGATGACTTCTGCACATGCTTCTCCCTTTGTGATGCTTGTAAATGATCAGTCACCCTAAGATGCAGAATTATTGGTTAAGCTTTTCAGCAAGTACCCTTTGACCTCAAGATATCTCTCACAGCCCTTCATAGACCTTAAAATACTACACTTGCAGGAGATGTATGTGGTGTTGGTTTATAATAATTAAAGTCGGAAGGCATGAAAAGGTTTGAAGGTTACAAAATGAATATTTTCCAAACGCACATCTGATTGAGGTCTTTGAGATTCTCATAAAAGTCCAGTTTTATTTGTATTAATTAAGTGACATCACATGACTTGTTTTTGTCCTCAGATGGGGATCTGAGGGCCTGCCACCAGATGAGTTGTCCGTCCAGAACGGTATCCTGACTACCAGAGCCAGCCGGTTCCCACTGTGCATTGACCCACAGCAGCAGGCACTGAACTGGATCAAGAGAAAAGAGGAACAGAACAACCTCAAGGTACCAGACTATCCATCGTGCCGAACAATGGAAATGGACAATTCACTTATTATGTTAGCCACTGAGCAATGCCTGTGCACTGCTGGCGCACTGGCGTCACCATGATGATGATTGTCAGTGCATCTGCGCGTATTTCTTACGGAGCAAAGACTTGGACCTAGCTCTAGACAACAGATTCGAAAGCAGCCCTTGACTGCTTAGCTGTGTCCAAGTTACTTGGCTATGGCTCACAGTAACAGATGCACCTATGGAACCTGCTATTTTACAGCGGCTACGGCTGTTTCCCATAGACCTGTATGTGTTTGCTAGTCATAGCCAAGATATTTGGAGGTGGTTATATTTTTCTCACCCAGCAGTGCCCTGTCTTGTTCCCTGACTTGGCTTATAACAATCCTGTATTTTTGTCAACAGGTGTGCACCTTCAATGACCCAGACTTCCTGAAGCAGTTGGAGCTTGCCATCAAGTACGGCTTCCCGTTCCTCTTCCAAGATGTAGATGAGTACATTGATCCTGTCATCGATAATGTCCTTGAGAAGAACATCAAAGGTATGACCACAGAGCCGTTGGGTTTCAGAATGTATCCTTTGTGGTAATGGCTTTTAAGAATCCCCTCAGTTTTCCTTGTTAAGCAGGGAAGTTTGTTCAGCAAAGTTCTGCTAAGCAGGAATCGGCAGAGAACCATTTTTTTGCAGTTTATGTTGCATGACATTTACACTGGTACCCTGTTTTTTGTTAAGCAAATATTCCGTCTTGTGCTTAGCCCCTTGCAGCTTCATGAACGAATCCCAACGTCAGATGAATCAAATGTCTTTACCTCCGTGTGTGTATATCTTCCTATCAAGACACTTCCTCTGTGAAGTTTCTAAGGCCAAAGGTCAAAACTTGCTGGTCTACAATAGAGGGTTTGCACGACTGCCATCTTGCAGGCCTGTGCTTTTGTTCCACAGGGTATGCACAAAGGTTTTCCTGTGGAACAAAAGAACTGCCCTGCAAGATGGCTACAACACTATGGCTAGAGCAAAAACAAAACATTTGAAACACTATAAGAATTGAATCAGTTGTGATATTTTTCGGGCATGTTGTAATTTAGGTGCTGCAGGTCGCGAGTTCATCATTCTCGGTGACAAGGAGGTAGACTACGATCCCAACTTCCGTCTGTACCTCAACACCAAGCTGGCTAACCCCAAGTACACACCGGCAGTGTTTGGCAAAGCCATGGTCATCAACTACACAGTCACACTCAAGGTATGAATCAGACAAGAAGGAGAGATTCGTTGTTTTCTTCAGGAAGTCTGGAAATGTTATTTCACAGAATGCACTATGCACATTCTGCGGAAAATACTGTCTAATAACCCTATATGCTTTTAATACTTCATGAACAACCCTGCCAAACCGAGTCTGCTTTTTTACCCTTTGACTTTGCATAATCAGTTCTTCTGGAACAGTTCCATATTTGGGCTAATACTTTCTGACCCGTCAGATCACACTTTATAAAAAGATGGCCCAGACTTGACAATTCCAAACAGCTGTACCTCCAAAATCTTGAATATTAGGCAGTGTTTATTTCACACAGATCTGGATCCTGATCAATGATCTGTCGTTGGTTACAGACACCAAAACTCACTTAATAGATGGTGTGAACCATTGCGAGGATCACTGATCAAGATCCAGATCCATGTGAAACAAACAGGCCCTTGAGTTCAAGGTCAAATCTCTCACAATATTGATTGGCTGGTGATTAGTTTCAAAAAAGCACAGACCCAAGTTGGTTTACAAGAATATCTTACACCACCATGAAATGCTTCAATACAAAACCCCAAAACTACTCTGTCGAGAAAAATACCACTTTCCAAAGAAAAGTTTGGTTCATTTTATCAAGCTTCCCCTTTTCGATTACAATTTCAAAGCATTTCCCAGGTGTACAGAGATATGGTGCTCGCTAGAGCCTGAAGAGATTGTCATTTCAACTTTCCCACTGTCTCCCCATCCAGGGTCTTGAAGATCAGCTTCTCAGCGTCATCGTGGGCTTTGAGCGCAAGGAGCTGGAGGAGCAACGCGAGCGTCTGATCCAGGAGACGAGCGACAACAAACGCTTGCTGAAGGACCTAGAGGACTCATTGCTGAGAGAGCTGGCCACATCCACAGGTAACATGCTGGACAATGTGGAGCTGGTGCAGACCCTGGAGGAAACCAAGTCCAAAGCCACAGAGGTGAGATGGATACTAGACCTATCTTTCAAGAAGGTTAAAAAAACGAGAGCAATATCATATATCAAAAATTGTGCTAGCTTGTCATGAAAAAGGATTTAAAAAAATCTGGACTGATCTTGTCAAACTCGAGCAAACTACTTTGTCTGCCTTCAAGTATTCTTTGTCCAAAACTGGGTTTAAAAGATTTTCATAACAGTCTGTCATAGGTTAATAGTCCCATTTTTATCACAAATAAGATCATGTAGGTTTCTTAAATAGTCTACAGCATTAAAGTACTACAACTCCTAAAATAACTCTAAGGCTCTAACACCTTACATCAAAACCTTTGGTGCAAAACTCAGCACTTGTTTATCCGACCTTAAAGTGGCCCCATTCACTATCTGTCCAGCCCTGGACCAACCTCATGTCAATCTCACCCTCTCCTAGGTTGCGGACAAGCTCAAGCTGGCTGCCAAGACGGCGGTGGACATTGACAAGCTCCGCGACGGCTACCGCCCGGCCGCCAAGCGGGGCGCTATCCTCTTCTTCGTCCTGTCCGAGATGGCTCTGATCAATACCATGTACCAATATTCGCTGGCTTCGTTCCTTGGTGTCTTCCAACTCTCGCTCAAGAAGAGTTTGCCGGACTCCATCCTGGTCAAGCGACTCAGGAACATCATGGACACGCTGACACACAATATCTACAACTACGCTTGCACAGGTAACCAGCTTTGTCTCACAGCTGATAAACGTAAACCTACTTAGCGCGTAAGATTTGACTCAGCAGAAAGAGTTCGTCATCCAACTTTTGCACTCCCGTTCTGGTCTGTTGGTTTCACGCAGTGGCACTGCAGTTATATAACGCTCTACACATCAGGGAACACTGCGATCACTGATGTGTGAAGTCAATGAAAGGGTTTGGGTCTTTTAATCATCTATCCACTACAAATGATTGTGAGAGACAGGAGGATTAAATGTTAGAGTTCATTAAGTTTCAGACCATTTGTTCATTTTCTCTGACTGGTAATATTTATTGTTGATGAACGTTCTCAGATGAATATGCCACTGCACGAATTGGTTAAACAAATGACTCTACAAAGAAGGGTTACCAGCCAAGACTTTTTATGGCCAGTTCTTGGCAACCTTGAACGGAACTTAATAGACAGTTTGTAGTTTAGGAAACCTTGTCCCTGAAGATGCAGCCTGATTGGTCAAGAGTCTTTGTATTGGAATTTATTCAATTTTGCATACAGGATAAATGATTCAGTTTGTCTTACTTAAGCTTGAATCCAGAAAACTCAGTGCGTACTGCATTCATTGCCATTTTGCACATAAAACTGTATGGGGTGTTTGAAGATGAGACTGATGCATAAGTTATGCTGTTCTCTTTCCACCAGGGTTGTTTGAGAAGCACAAGCTGCTGTTCTCCTTCCAGATGACCATCAAGCTGGAGCAGAGCGAGGACCAGTTGCCCCAGGAGGAGCTGGACTTCTTCATCAAGGGCAACCTGTCGCTGGAGAAGAGCCGGCGCTCCCGTCCTCACATGTGGATCCCCGAGCAAGGCTGGGAGGACATCATCAAGTGTGCTCAGATCACCGACGTGTTCGCTACGCTGCCCGACGACGTGGAGAAGAATGGGGCTACATGGAAAGCGGTAAGATGCCAGAAAGTTGATAATGAAAATGGGCCATAACTTTCATAGTCAGTTGGAGAGAGGTGATACGAAGTTGAGATGAAGTGACTTACCCAAAGAGACAGCCTATAACCAGTAGCTGGATTCCAACCCCTGACCCTAACCACAGGGCTGAGCTCAAGTGACCATTTCTTAACCACGGGTTGATTTTGCCTGGTACCCACACCATACTTTATGGGCAGGTTACCAGAGAAAGTCGACATCTTGTTGACGTAGTTGTCACTGAAACATGTCCAAAGCTACACTCTCCCATGCCTCAATAAGTAACCAGTTATTATAGCAATGAATTCTTAAGTTCCAATTAAGTCAATTAGAATCACATAATAATGTAATGAACTGCGACATTTTTGTGTCCTATTTTTTTTTTGCGGCGCACAGTGGTACGACTTGGACACTCCCGAGCAGAGCCCACTTCCAGGAAAATACTCAGACTCCCTCTCTGAGTTCCAGAAGCTCCTCCTACTCCGCTGTTTCCGCATCGATCGCGTCTACCGCGCCGTGACCGACTACGTCACCTCCCGCATGGGGGAGAAGTACGTCACACCCCCCGTCATCAGCTTTGAGTCCATCTTCGAGCAGAGCACCCCCTTCTCGCCCATCGTCTTCATCCTGAGTCCCGGCTCCGACCCGGCCAGCGACCTGACCAAGCTGGCCGAGAGGTCAGGCTTCGGCGGCAACAAGCTCAAGTTCCTCTCCATGGGGCAAGGCCAGGAGAAGGTAAGATTCTGTACAGGACAATTGCTAATGACAATCATGCTCACTCTAATAAGGGTCCTTTGGACAAACTAAATATTTCTGATGTCGTAACTGTGAACGGAACCAAAGCTGTTCATTGAAACCGTGAATTGCCGCAATGTTCCGTCAGTGACAATCAACTGAAAAGATATTTTGATCACGGTGGCCAGATATAATCTTTTTTTTTCAATGTTTTGATTGTATTGAAGTAAATGCAGGGGTACTGTAGAGTTAAATTGATTGTGTGGGCAACCTCAGTGGCATTATAGAATAAACTCGTTGCCTTGAAAGCTGTTCTGACAACACTCAACGTGTATGTTCCTCATCGCCCAGAGAGCAGCTTTGATAACTTCCTGTTAGCGACAACCATTTCACAATCACTTCCACACAAAGGCAGGGTTTACTGGAAGTAATCATGCAGTGGTTGGAGTCCCCATGCATGCACAAGACCTAGCCTACCATGACCTGGGAGTGCACTCAAAGCTAGCACAGTTGCTCTGGCCCTGTTAGTAGTACCTTAACAGTGTGTCAGCCATAAGCAGTGAACCCATCCTTACCAATAATTCACTGTAGCTGCGGATCATCAGCCACTAGTAAACATCATTTCATCCCTAGGTGGCCTTGCAACTCTTGGAGACGGCCATCGCCCGCGGCCAGTGGCTCATGCTTCAGAACTGCCACCTGTTAGCTAAATGGCTACGCGACTTGGAGAAGGCGCTAGAGAAGATCACTAAGCCACATCCTGACTTCCGGCTATGGCTGACCACTGACCCCACGCCGGCCTTCCCCATCGGTATCCTTCAAAGGTCACTCAAGGTAAGTGTCAATTTGGTCATGTTCACATTTGTGCCAGAGACAATGTTGCAGTTCTTAAAGTGAAAAACAGGCATTTTGTAGAGAGCTATCTTCAAGCATATTTTCCCAGTTATGAAATAGCTTCAAGGTACCTATGCATCTTGTGTCATCATCAAGCGTTCTTCTCAGCCACTGGAATTTCACGTTTTTAGTCTGTAGAAAATGTGGGGTTTTTTTCTTTAAAGGAAGACTTTTTTGTGCGTTGCCATGGAAGTTACCCTGCTAACAACCGTTCCAAATCTTTTCTTGTGAAGATTGTTAGCTATCTAGGAGGACACCATAATACAATGGAATTACAATGGGACAAGCACTAGAACATCACCTTTCTGGTCTTGGGTTCACGTCCCCTTTGTATGCACTCTATCTGTCATTTATTGACTCTGTGAAAGCGTCATTTTAGTGATTGTGGCGGTTGTAGTTTGGAACATGGAGGTTATAGGTTGGATTCGAACCAGAGACATTCATAGATTTTTCTTCATCTTTTTTTTAAGCACCCATTCAAAATTTGAGATCTTGGAGTAAGCCTCTCCCCCCTTTCTCATCTCCCCAGGTGGTGACAGAACCTCCCAACGGCCTGAAGCTCAACCTTCGCAGCAGCTATCACAAGATCTCGGCCCAGGTCCTGGAGGACTGCCCCCACCCTGCCTTCAAGCCCTTGGTCTTTGTCCTCGCATTCTTCCATGCCGTGGTGCAGGAACGTCGCAAGTACGGCAAGATCGGCTGGAACGTGCCCTACGACTTCAACGAGTCGGACTTCCGCGTCTGCATGGACATCCTCCAGACGTATCTCACCAAGGCCTTTGAGCAAGGCGACCCCAAAATTCCCTGGAGCAGTCTCAAATACCTTATTGGAGAGGTACAGAAATTTTAATTGCTTAATTTGCTATTCTCATACATGTGCAGAAAATGAAACATAAGCTGATGACCACAATAGCAGATTTATGTGCTAAGCAAAAATAGGCTGGGAACCAGTCAAATGCAATGCAAACTCAATCACATTACGGCTGGGAACCAGTTTCTGCTTAGCAAATATTATTCCTTGGTTAGCAAACTTTGCACGCTCAGTAGCACCGTAGAAGAACCAGCCCCGATATCGTGTGACCCATTTCTTCCCAGGTGATGTATGGAGGGCGTGCCATCGACAACTTTGACCGTCGCGTCTTGAACACCTACATGGACGAGTACATGGGCGACTTCATCTTCGACACCTTCCAACCGTTCCACTTCTACTGCAACAAGGAAGTCGACTACTGCATTCCCGAGATCGGTCCCAAGGATAACTACGTCCGTACGTAACAATTTGGCTTATTTCTCACTTGGTGGCTGATACACTTCTTGACTCTGTGTAGGATGTCTGGGGTTCGAACTCATTTACTATCCTTTCAGAAAAGTAGGTCTTAAGTTTGCCAATTTAAAGCAATGTGACAGTACAGTGTAGGGCCACAAACACCACTAAATGCATAGTCTTTGAAGTTTGTTCACATAGTTTCTTTGACCCCAATCCTGTCTGATCCTCCAAAATTCACCTGGAGGTCTAGAAGAATCTTAGAAGATTGAGGGAGGTAAATGCCGGCCAAAAAAACAACTTGACACTCCTTGACGTGGAGAGATTCTTGCAGTGATATGATCGAATATACTTAAATTGTTATTGAACAGTGTTTGGCAAAACAGAACAGTCTTTGAATCCACTTTGAATATTGAGCACATTATATTGAAAATTAGTCAGACTACGCAAACTATCAAAAAGTTTGTTTTGAAGCCTTCCTTTTTAATGACACATTCCTGTGATCAAACATATCGCTTCAGATTGATCGGTCCTGTAAGTTGTGTTTCATAACTACACATCCTAAACACTGGTATGTACAAATATTGACTTCCCCAAGAGAGCTTCCATCTTCATCATTGAAGCTTTCGAAAAATCTGACCTGAATTACTTAACATTGCTGCATTGTCCGTCTGGTAACACGCAATCAGTCGCCATGGAGATGCAGCCTGCTCAATCGCACACCATAGTGGGAACCTTTACAAGATTGGTGGCATCTGTGCGGATGCTCAACCTTCAATTACTTTGCACAATTGGAGGTAGTGACTCTGGCGCACATTGAGGAGAATACTGGCCTTGAGATTTCAGAGATCAGGAGATTGCTAAGTGCTCAATCTGGGAGGTCGTTTTTTTTTTTTTTTTACTCGTCGTCCCTTTGCCCTGTTAATTTGGAGTTTATTACAAAAATGCGCTGACTTTCTCAAGGCTTCTAATATATGGCCTTGAAGTATGTTTGTTCTCCCAGCATAATGACCATGGCTTTTGGAATCAACAGATTTGGCAATATTTGTTGATAAACTGGTTTTTTTTTTGTGGTATTTGTAGAACACTGTAATGTTATAATTATGGATATTCAATTTACCGCAAATGGGTCACTTGGGAGACATTCCCATAGGAACGTGCCCAATCTTTACTGTCCCATAATTCAATATTCCCTAATCTGATCTTAACCAAACTTTGCATGTTTTCCTCTTAGACCCTAATCTAACATCTCTCAAAATTTGGATGGTAAAAATTTTCCTCCTTCTCGTATTTGGAGCAAACATTGAAATGTCTCCCTAATGACCGATGTCTCCCGAATGTTGAAAAATTTACCACAAAATGTCTCCCATGTGACCTATTTGGAAATATTATAAATTAGGTCATTTGGGAGACATTTTGTGGTAAATTTTTCAGCATTAGGGAGACATTGGCTTTTTAGGGAGACATTTCAGTGTCCCTAATGACCCATTAGCGGTAATAATAATTATTATTATGTTGATTAGGTGGAAGAATGGCGCATTCTTTGTGCTTAGACTAAAAGTTGTGACTGAAACCCAACAAAATGGGTCTTACCTTGGCAGAGCCACTGCTGTACAGGCTTTTGCAAGAATCCTGCACTGTGCAAATCAATAGGAGCCGTCAGCATTTATCACCTACACAAATGTTCTCTTCATTTCCATCAGGATGCAAAACTGAGAGATATAACAAAACAAAGAACCAGGTTCCTTCTGTCTAATGTAAACGGGAAAAAATGAAAAGATGACCTGAATAGGCATTTTGTGGGTTCTGGTTCCATTGTTAGCGATTAAACCCTTGTTACAGTGTTACAGTAACTTGTTCAGACAAGCTTTGTTCACCAAATCCGTCAAATTAGGTTTGAGACTTTGTCAGATATAGGCCAGCAAGTTTCAATCATTTCTCAAATAAATCGTCCAATAATCATGTCCATAAATGTCATTTTGGCGTTACTTACAGAGGCGATAGAGGAGCTGCCATTAGCCAACACTCCTGAGGTGTTTGGTCTACATCCCAACGCCGAGATCAATTACTACACCCAGGCCGCCAGGGACATGTGGTCACAGCTCGTTGAGCTTCAGCCTCAGACAGGTAAGATCAAATCAACCCAAGGTTTGGACCAACAACCGGCATAAGATTCTATCCTCATTTTTTATTCCATCGTTATCTGCCCTGAGCTGAAGTGCACCCTCAACGGCAGAAGAAAGACAGATAGTACTAAGTTTTCCAGCTGGGTTCTAGAACGCATTTCGACGTGTACGCGAAGATCACACATCTTACACTAAAATGCTTAATACGCGTACTCGGCGTGCACATAAACATGCGCAGCTATGCGGTACGTGAGTACCACAGGACTGTCAATTTCATTTTAAAACATGCCCTCTTGTGTTCCTGCTCGGAGCGGATAAGGCACCCTTAATTCAGGGCGCCCGTAGTGGCGATGGGCCCAACAAATTTCATTACCCGGCTCTTCGTTTGTAATGAAATAATCCCTATCAAAGTTTGTTGAAATGTGGTGCATTGTCTCTGTAATTTCTTACCTCCCTTTCTAAATTTCTTTGAAGAAAACTCTTAGTATTGTAGTTACTTTCATAATTTTTAACACCTGGAATGTAAGATGCTGATAAGTTTGTCGTCATCGGGGCCGGTACTAGACCCACCCTATTTCTAAGTTCAGCCTGCGGGAAATATTGTTTCATAATCAGATATGACATCAATTAAAATCTTTTAATCAGCTGTGATTTTTTTTATTCAAATGTATTTTGGATTTAAAAAGTTATTTATTATAATTCCATTATAGTAAATAATTATATTATAATTAAGAATTAATATTATAATTAAATGATTTATTGTAAATTCCATTCTCAAGAAGCCTTCATTTTGTTTTTAAACTGACAGAGCAGTTAGTTGTGTAAGCACTGAAATGTTTTCCCATTTTTGTCTCAGGGGAGTCTGGGGCGGGCATCAGCCGTGAGGATTTCATCGCCAACATCGCCTCCGACATCCAGGCCAAGCTCCCTCAGCAGTTTGAGCTGGACAAGATCCGCAAGAAGTACGGTCTTGAGGTCACCCCCACCACCGTGGTGCTCTTGCAAGAGTTGGAACGCTTCAACCGACTCATCGCCCGCATGCACAAGTCGCTCATCGAACTTCAGAGGGTAAGTCACGTCCCCGACTTCTTTTTTTGGGGGGGGTGGTTGTTGTTGTAGGTAATATTTCAGAAGTTCAAGGTTCTGCCTGATCTTCCGTGGTTTTTATGAGAAATCAAAGGATCCACCAACATGAGGCTTGGTTGCTCAGTCAGTAGAGAGCTGGTACAGCATCCCAGAGGTCACAGGTCAAATCCTGATCCTGTGAATTTTCTCAACCTCGTCCCGAGTGGTTACTTTATTCCCAGCATAGCTTCCATATAGTAACCTCTGGAAAGGAAAACTTCTCCCTGTATCCCGACATTACCAGCACACTGTCGTAAAAGTTGGTACTAATCCTGCCCTAACTTACTCTTTATAATGGGTTTTGCGGTTTTTGTCTTAAAAAACGAGAGCTGGGGGTTGGGTTGCAGGCTGCCTTGGGCAGTAACCCACGTTATTTGCGGTCAGGTAATCGCCACAGTTGATTGGTTAACAAAGTGAAATGGGTATAGCAGCAGTGACCGGTCAACACAGAATGTTGTAAAGTCATTTCCATAGGATTGACGCAGCGTTTCCTGGGGGCGGGCCTTAGACTAAAGTAATGTTGGAAAGCACTGTTGCCAATAATTTATTTTTCTCATTTACACAAATCCTGAGGGGGTAGGGTATGTATCTCCCCACCTTTGGTGGTGGGAGGATGGGCCGTGGAATCATCCCACACTTTTTTTGTGATGAGCAAAAAAGTTGATTTGTAAATTGATTTTAATATGCTATTCTGAGTTTGACGATTTTATGTACAATGTTTATAATGAACATTGCCCCATAGTACATGGTGTGGCGTTGATTTATAATATATACTCTTTTCAAGACATGGTCACTTTTCCTGTATAAACTGCTTTCCCTGTTGTCTTTGGCAGCCATTTCATAGCACACATC